CTGTGTTTTCAGAGCTTTTTTTCTTCTTTTTTCAAGCACGCTAGAAACAATGTTTGATTTTAGAAATTAGTAAAAACAGTCTTTCTCAAATCATGTAGGAAATAAAAAAATTGATAATTATTAGTAACTATGCAAAGTACTCTACGGATAAGTATTGTTTTAAAATGTAAATTTTTTTTTAATCAAGATCTATTAATTTCGTATAGTGCATTGGTAGGGAAGAAAACTTCAAATTAAAGAAAAATAATGATAATAATAACAGACATATACAAATTTGCACAAAAACAAAAGGATTAAATTGTACTGTTGCACCCGAAATCTTTTTATTGTTGCATAATATACTCCAATTTTGAATTTTGAAAAATTACATTCTGAACTTTGAAAAATTTAACAATTAAGGTCCAATAGCTAATGAGCATCATTCAATGGATAGTTTGAGACACAGTATTTATACATGAAAAGTAAAACTCACTATTTTTCAAATTAAGTCACGTATAAATCTTATATTCTGAACCGTCAACTTAGTAATACGTATCTATCAGTTATTCGATTTTAAATTCTAAAATTTAAGAGAAAATTTGTTAAAATTAAATATTGGGGGTGTATACACAAAAATATAAAAAGTTATTAGACGGTAATAATGCGATTTATGCAAATACGAGAGCATTCTTTGGTAACGAAAGAAAAGATAGCTATATGACAAGTGAGCTCGAAAAGTTTAAAAATACAGGAACCGACTATAAAAGGCTGATTTATGTGTTGTTGTATTTGTAGAAAAAGGCATGAGGTGGTGAGCTAGAAAACCAGTAGTAAAAAGTAGCAGATCAAAGGCAATCTAATTTGCCGCGAGCATCTTCTTTTATTTATTTATTTATTTTATTTATTTATTATTTTTAACGATCAAATATTTGGGAATCTTTCTGTTTCTTTCTTGCAAGTTGGAGGACAAGTGCAAAGTGAATCAACATACTTTTTGTAAAGGTGAATAAAACTTTCCTGCTTATAAATTTTAGTTGCAAAAGGTAATTACAGTAACGAAAAAGAACAAAAAAAGTCTAGGCAAAAGAATAAAAGAAAAGAAGACAAAAGTAGTGCAAAAATTTTAGCTCACGTGACGGCCAATCCAAGGGGACAAATAAAGAATGTTGTGTTGTAATTGTTGTGTTTTGCCTGATCACTACGCGTGTTAATAGGGTCAAGAATCACAATAAAGCCCCACCAGCGAATTCAAAAGCACAAGGTCTCCTTAGCTATTTAGGCCCAGTTTATTTCACCGATTCGAGTTTTGTTACAGTAAAAAACTCTCAGAAACAATCATATTTAACTTTTGTATTACAATAAAAAGCTCTCACATAAAATCACATCTCAACTCGAATTAGCGAACTGTTTTGATTAACTTTGCATAATAACAATGTCTGCTTAATTAAATATTTTCTTTGATAGGCTTTTAGAAGTTGTACAATAGTTGCGTGTCACAATCTTGCCCTTCCAATATGTGTAATCTCCAATTGTCCATGGTTAAGTTTGAAGACAAAAAGCCCCGTTCATTTCGCCAATTCGAGTTTAGAATTTGAGTTTTGCTACAGTAAAAAGCTCTCAGAAATAATCACATCTAACTTTTTTGCTACAGTAAAAAACTCTCACACAAAATCACATCTCAACTCGAATTATAAACTCGAATCTACATTCAAGTTTTTGTAGTGTGACTCAATTTAGTAACGCAACATTAATACCAAAAGTAATTACATAAATATTCCTCGTACTTCAACTTTTCACGAAAAGTATCCTTTAGATTTGAGAAAACATGTTTCAATTTAATTTGAGAGCTTTTAGGGTGTCGAGAGATGAATTCTCAGTATTAGTGTCAGGAATATAATAATTTACACAATTTACATTGAAACTTGCAAATTTTGAACGTTTAAGTTGTAAAATTACGATAGACTTATTAATTTTAAGAGAGATAAGATAGTTTGTGCATTTGAACGAGATACTTCAAAATGTTGACTATTAAAATTGTAAGAGTTACGAAAAATTCGTGAGCCGACGACAGTGTCGTGGAGTCCAACACGCGAAAATAATATTTGAAAACAATTTTAAACATTTATAAGATATTAAAACCATAAAATAACACATAAATTTTTTAGAGGAAAGCATATTTGACGCCCATAATTCTTTTGAAGAAAAACATAGAAGTTTTCTTAAATTGTTTTTCAAGAACTATTTATGTGTATTTTTGTTTTTCCACTTTATTTTTAATCCAAAAGATGCGGGAAGGATGAAACTGAAACATGTTTTTTATAATTTAAATGATGTTTTTGTAGATTTTAAAAAGAAAAGTGGGATAAATTATGGGCTCATTTAGTTCGCTGATTCGAGTTGAGATGTGAATTTATATAATAACTTTTTACTGTAACAAAAAAGTTAGATGTGATTATTTTTAAGAGCTTTTTACTGTAGCAAAACTTAAATTCTAAACTCGAATCGGTGAAATAAACGGGGCCTATAAAACTGAGAGTTGTACTTGTGTAATTAGCACATAATACAAACAAAACAGTCGGATCCAATACTAACCTCCTATTCAATTCTTAACAAAAGTTGGGACTTCGAAGAGAAAAGAATGGCACGCCACATTTATATCGTAGCATGTACTACAGAGATGGGATATGTTTGGTAAATCTTTCTAGAGGTTATGTTTGAATTTAAAAACTGTTTTGAAATTGTCGTGAATATTCTTTGGGCCTGTTTAGTTCGCTGATTCGAATTTTTAATTCGAGTTGAGATGTGACTTTACGTTAGAGTTTTTTACTGTAGCAAAAAAGTTGGATGTAACTATTTCTGAGAACTTTTTACTATAACAAAACTCAAATTCTAAACTCGAATCGGCGAAATGAACGGGATCTTTGAAACTTGTACTAGAGTCTCGTTCAAACATTATAAATTAAACTCTATTATAATGCTTGTATTGCTTATGAAAAAATTTTAAAATTATGTTGATCGATTAAACTATTTTAAAATGTGGTTCTAAACTTTTAAATTTTTTTTCTTTTAGTGACTAGAACCAAAAACAACAACTCTGCGAAACAGGCCCGTAATGTCAGTTGTGATTGAACTAATTCCTTCTAATGAAAAATATTTTGCAGCGATTTTTTTCCTTATGTTCTTTAAGAGTAAAATTCATCTGATTTATGTGGATATTCAGACTTTGTTTATTTTTCATCTACGAGAGAAAAATGATCATGCCAAAAGCCAATCAAAGAAAAATATATTTAAATCGTGAGGAACAATTTAATGTTTTTAGAATTTTTAAAATATTTTCAAATTTTTTCCCAGAAAAATTATATTTTTGAAAAGTAAATTTGCTTTTAAGTAAAGGGTATTTTTTTCCCTTTCCTTTTGTTTTTCCGTCTACAAAGTATGCGGTGGATGATTTTGAAATAAGTTTTTATAATGTAAATGATACTTTGTTGTTTTTAAAAACAAATAGACAAATTGAAAAATAATCAAAATTAGAAAGTATAAATATGTAATTAATTTCACTTTTGACCCTGAATTATCTTCCCCATCCCATTTTGGCCTTGAACTTCAAAAGATTACATATATATCTTCATCTTTTGGACACAATTATTCAATCGACCTAATGAGCCACAACATCGATGATACCAAAAGAAATACACAAACGGATTTATTATTGCCTGTCATACATTTTGATATGCTATTAATTAAAATTAAAAATATTAAAAAGTACTTCATGAAAAGTTATGGAAAAAAATAATGCTGAAAAAGCTTGGGAATATTTTCAGAGTATCCGTGAGGAAATTAAAGTTCATTAGTCTATACTTGAATTAAGAATAACACACTTTTTGAGTTAGGTAACTTGAGTGTAGATTTTGAGTTGAGTTTGAGTTATAACTTGAGTTGAAGTTGTAACTTGAGTTTGTGTTTGGTTGTGTACATTTGAGTTATGGTTTGAGATAAGAATCTTTTTTGAGTTTGTGTTTGAGTAAGTCAAAACTTGAATTTATTTTTAGGTAGTATTTTAATAAAAACTCAATGCTGATGAAAAATTTTAATAGGGTATATGAGTCTAGTTTTATTCGTATTTTCGTTGTCAACGCATAGAAAAAAAAATCATCTCAACCAGAATTACGAAAAAGTTATAACATTTTTAAGAATAGAAAAAATACTGTTCATTAACTTGAGTTCGAGTTTCTGAACTCGAGTTGAAGGGAAAACTTGAACTCGAGTTTGAGTTCCAAACTTGAGTTCAAACTTAAAAGAACATGAACTCGAATAAAGTTGTAACCCGAGTCACCTTTATTTGAGTTTTTCACTCAAAAATTACCTCACCGAACAGGCCCTTTGTTTCCTAACACTAACAATTATGATGAAGCGTCGACATTCTTCAACGTTTTTTTGGTTAAAGAAAAATTCAAAAAAGGGACGATTAATGTTAGCATATCTCGTGATCATTAGAGGAATATATCACTTCAATCTTACTAAATGTACTGATGATAAATATATGTGAGGGCGTAGTCCCAAACACTTTAAATTAAATACCAGATCGATTACCACAAATCATCACATTTAAAGCTTAAAGAGAGCCATTCAACACACAAATCTCTGATCACTATCTAAAACCCCAAAGAGAGCCATTTAAGACTCGAATCTATGATCACTAATCCACTATGACAACCCATTACGGCAAAAAAAAAAAAAAAAAAAAAAAAAAGAATTCAACTTCTTCATCCCTAAGGAAAAAAAAAATGTTAAAAATTTAAAAAAAGTAAAGGGGAACAAATTCCCTCCAAATGATTGGGCGCAACCACAAAGGCCAAGAAAGCAAGCCCCTCTCCTCTTCCCTCCCACCCCGCCAAAAAGCGAGTCTGACGAAACCATTGTCTGCCAATTCTTTTTCTCCCGATTCCTCCCTATATATATACCCTCTTAACTTTTCCTCTCCGATTTCTCGATCATTTTCTCTCTCTCACTCTCTCTCTCTAGCAATTTCGTCGACGAAGCAGCAACACAGTGGCTCTCAAATGCTCGAGATCGTTTAGCGAGCCTACGGTTAGCTTTCTCTCTCCAACTGAGATCTCATTTCGTTTGAATTCTTCTGAAATTGATTGAATTATTCTGGTTTCACTATGAATTTCTCGATTTCTCTTTGCGCGCTCTGTTTCGTTTGAGTGTCTTCGTATACATACACACACACACGCACATATATCTAGTGCGTGTAGTGATCTGATTGAAGTTCTTACTTGAGCAGCTATATTTGCTTGAAGCTGTACTACTGCGCATCATTTCTAGGCTTTTAGTTTCGATCCACATTGCTATTGATATAGTGGAGTTAGGCCGGCGATTCAATCGTTCTGATATATGAATTCCGAATCGGTTTTATTATTATTATTTTGTTTGCTTGGCTGCGATTAGGTAATTTTTACTTCGTAGCAGAAACATTTTATCTAATTTTTACGAAATTTTTAATACTGCACAGAATTTCGCCTTTTGAGATTGCAGTAAACAAACAGGGTGTTTTCTGTATCTATGGTCGCTTTGTAGGTTTTGAGATCACATATTTGAAAATTTTAATTTGAGTTTTCGCAATGAAATTTTAAGGATACATATCTACGTTAAGTCCCGCTCTTTCCCTCCATTTGTATTTTTTCTGCAAAGAAATGTTATGCTGTACATTTTTCATAATTATTCAGATCAATATAAGGTTAGTGCTTTGAACTGCCTACTTCGCATTTGATTTTAAGAACTATTTCTATAGGTTAGAAAGGCAAAAGTTCAATTTGCCCATTTGTGGGCCTTGTTGAGGGATTTTGATGTCCTGTTCAGAGTTCTTATTAACATCAAGTTTAATGGGCACGTTTGTCATGTTTACCAATAGAACGCAAGATATTTTGTCCATTAAAGTTCATTGGCGGCATTTTTTAGCCTGGGCATTTTGGTTCCTAGCTCAGAAAATTAGACAAGGAAAAGAAGAGCGAGTCCAATAGCTCGTTAGGTGAAGTAATCTCTACCCATTTTTATTTATGCAAGAAAAGTTCGTAAAAAACCTTCAACTGAAAAACAGAGGAAAAGAAAAGGAGCCTTAGTAAAAACTCTCTAATGTTGACAGCCTCTGTCAGACTTTGGACCAATGTGAAAAGAGTTACTACTGTGCCAGGCATGGCTTATTGTAAATTCAAAAATTTTTACCGTTTTTGTTCTTCCATGGGTTCCACTTGTAATTCATTCATGCTAAGCATGCTTTGTCCTGTTCGGTTTTTCATTCAAACAAAGACGCCAGTTTTGATTATTTTCGTCCATGAGTCAGGATATCTTTGGTTGTGGGAACCACATCATATTTTAGGTGCCTACCCCCCGTTGCATGCGTGACAAATTTGTGTAACTATACGTTTTACTTCGAATTCCCTGGCTACTGGGTTGTTTTCACGGGCTCTTCCGCACTCTAGAAAGTAGAATCTCACAAGTCTGACCATAGCAATAATATCAACTCCACTTGCACCATAGCAATAATATCAACTCCACTTGCTCTCGCTTAGCGGAGAAAACAACAATGCTTCATGCGAGAGTTTTCTGTCAATTTCTGGCTTTATGGTATTTTCACTGATTTATGCGTCCATTTCCAGTGCGCGTTGCCTAAAAAGCTAAAGACAGTCATAATTTTTAAAGAAAAGAAGAAAAAAAAAAAAGAAAAAAAAGGGAAAGTCAGCACTAAATTTAGTGTTAATATTTGAGCAAAGAGCTAGCTGTTTATAACCGGTTCATGCGGTTTTCTCATATGGAGCTCAATTATAAATAAAGCTCCTCCCATTTTTAATTTTGCATATCATTCTCACCTTTATGAGAGAATTCCCATAGTGAGAGAAAAATTTATGGTACGTTTAGAACTCGTTCTAAAATAATTTTATTTTTTATATGAAAATTGAAATGAAAATGTTTTCAATTTCAGACAAAAATTATTTTTGAAAATGCGTTTGGTAGTTTTATCAAGAGATTGTTTCAGTATAAAAAAATCCATTAATGTCTATGTCTCTCTCTGCTCTTGAGAGGAGAAAACGGAAACAAAAAATAAAAAATGACTAAAAACCGTTTTTTATTTCTGTCTCATTTTACACTAAACTAAAAAAATGTTTTTATTTCCGTTTTTTGTCTTTAATTGTGCTAAATGCCATTTTTCTTCCGTTTTTATTTTTTCTTTCTCGAAAAACGTGAAAAACAAAAATAACTACAAACACAGCCTTAGTTTTTCCGGTTTTTTCTTCTTTTGTAAGGTGTTTTTCTTATTTACATGAGAGAGTGGTTCTTATTGTTTTTTCCGTATAATTTAGAAAGAATGTTGTAATTCTCATTTTTCATAGTGAAATTCTTCTACAGTTATTCCGTGGTTTTTATTTTGTCTCTTTTGAGGGTTTTTCACTTAAAATATGTGTCTATTTTATCTTTATTTTTACTCATTTCTTATTTTATTTTTATTTTTACTCATTTCTTATTTTATCTCATATTTGCCAACATGTACTGTGCCTTTTTTTCACACCCTTATCTATTGTTTTATGAAGGGTTAGATAGGTCCGTATCTCGTCATTCAAAAAGATATCTAAAGGGAGTTGGTTATTATGTTCAGTGACAGTGTTAAAGACCAAAAGATTGTTTCCTTCCTTCAAGAAGGTAAGTGCTCTTGTCTTGGTCTTTTTAATCTTATCTTCTTCTCGTTACATTTGATATATATCAGATTTTGCGCCAACTTGCTTTTCTTTTTTCCCTCTCGCAATAGTAAAAGGATTTTCTGTCACTCTTTTCATCCCCCATTTCCTTCTCTTACTTTTTGTTGGATTACTTTGACATTTGTTTGGGTGCCACAAGCTTTAGATTCCTTCTTTTACTAGGAGCAACTACTTTTTCATGCACATGATCAACTTTAAGTTAACGACTTGTTGCAGCATCTTTTATAGGCAAGGCACTGACTGCTCTATGCTAGTCATGCTACCTAACTTGTGTGAACTTGTGGTCAAGTGATGATGTAATATTGTTTTCTTAAGATCTTTCTGGAAATAGAAGGGGAATGTAAAATACATTATATACATACAACTTGTATAGCTTAAGAATTTTAAACCTAACTAGGGTTTAAAAACAATGCCAATATAGCGGTTAAACTAGTGATCAACAATGATGAGAAAATATATCCAAATAAATTTACTCGAGTAATTTTTCTTGGGGACTTTGGATAACTTGTTTTGATAAGTCAAAGAAGGGTAGTTTTATTTAACGCACGTGATATTGAATGCAATAATATAAAATGCGTAAACTGTGAGGTGACATTGGGATCCGAAAAAAAAGGGTTTATAATGCTAAACATCTTGGGTCTACTGTATATCAGAGTGGACCATAGGTTTTTTTTAGCATTTATCAAGTAAAAGAACATATAGTTCCCTTTTTTTTCTTTTGAAAATTTTTTATTTAATTATTCCTCATGTACAGGTTAAATGATTTACGGAGAAAATAAAGAAAAATTTGCTAATCAAAATTATTATAAACGTTCCTACAAAGGGAAACAAAATAAAAGAGAAGAAAACTTTGCTTAATCATGAGCATAAATGTTGGTTTGCCGTGCGTAAGAGTTGGTGACCTATGCCGATTATGGCTTTGGTCCAATTTGTTTTCTAATAGCATTTGGAGCACTGTCTTGTTTTGTTTAGTTGGTTATTTATGTGAGAGAAATATCATAGCACAAAATGTTAACTCTGAATTTTTATAAGAGAAAGCATTATAGTAAAATTTTAAATTGTGATTCGAATCAATAAAATGAACATGATTAACGGTTTAGATAAATAAGAAGAAATCTTTTAACTAATCAATTGACATAACTTTTTAGTTGAGTAATTAGACTAGCACGAGACACTGTATCATAGTGTCCATTTAATTTATGAGTTTAAATTATAGTTTATAATTCTAAATTTTAAAATTAAAATTTTTATGAGAAAAAAATATTATAACATAATTAAAAATTATAATTTAAACTATGCACCACTGGTTATTTTGCTAATAGTCATTTTATTTATTTTTGTTTTTTTGACAAATGATTATTTTCCGGCTAGTAGTCTAGTCATGGGCCGCTTTGTTTTTGTTGGTCCCGTCCAGTTACTTAGCGCTCGGTTTTTCGGCGAAAGTGTCCTCCTTTTTAAGTGATTATTTTATATAAATTGTCTATTTTAAAAATTATCTATTTATTATCTATTTTTCATGATATTATGATTCTATTTATATTTTAAATTAATTATTTGTATTTCCGCTTGATCTTTTTTGTGTACTGATATTGATTATTACAAAATTGCAGTCTTTATAATAATGAGCATGTTTGCATATTGTACTACCGACACAAAATATCTAAATATCAATGTTTTTAAAAACAGTTTACAATTTTATCGTCTAAACATATGTATAATAACAGTTTCAGCGATCTAGGGCATCCTCGGATTAGAAATTTGAAAAGGTCAACAACGTTTATGTACAATATACAAATATTATCTTTATCACAAAGATTGTAACTTTATAACAAAGACATCATAATTACAAAATCGAAGCACAAAAACTTTCTGTCAAGGAACATGAGCATATTACAACTTTATTAAATAAAAAAAAAACAGAGATTAAAAAGTTGAATAGATTTGACAATATTTGTGCATAACCAACAAACATGACCCAACAACTTTATGTCAACTTTGTGCATAATTGCTTGAGCCAAGATTTCCTTTCAGAATTTGTATACAGAAGTCATGTAAGCGCTTAGTTACATAAATTCTTTCCCAGCAAGTTTTGTTTGAAGATTATTTATCCCGTGTTCTTATATTCTTGTCTTTCCACGCGTCACAATTTCAATCGTTTGTCACGTACTGAATAGAAAACGCGAGCGAAAGCTTGACAAATGATGCTAAAATTTTAATTGTGTCCTTATTATTCTTTTTCTTGGTGTCCATAGTATCCTTTTTCTTGGTTAGAACAGAATATGTCTATGACTGTAAGTAATTTTCTTTTTCACGTTTTCCTAGGAAAATATTTTTTTAATTTTCTCATTTTATTTATGAAGTGTGAAAATTTTCATCATGGACTCTCATTTCTCATTTTCTTTTTGGGACTTGTTGTAGTTAGACACCAGACTAAGTCATAAGGTTCACAGTGGCGATAGCTTGGGCTTATATATTTAGAGGTTGTTTGTTTCATGACTTTGAACCACGGTTAAATCTTTTTGCTGCAATGTTTTATCTTATAAAAGTTGAATTATAGTTTAAATTTTCTAGTTTGAACTCATAAATCAAACAACACTATAGTTTTATAGAGACATAATACGGAAAAACTTACAGTCTTAACTCAAGTTTTCCTTGCCTCGTCTTAAAGCCTTATGAAAGGGGAAAAAAAGGTTTTTTGTTCACAAAAGAATTTCGTCCTGTATTGAACCAAGGCAAGGAGCAGAAAAAACTTACGTTACTGGTATTTCAGTAATGACTTTGATTTTTAGTACCTGGTCAGTTGCTATTCTGGTGACATTAACTAGTATGTGATTGGAATTGGAAGGTATATATTTAAAGGAATTGTCTTAAGTCCGGCTGCAAGGACCAATTAGACACATAAGAGTTTTTTTATTTATTTTAAATTCCCGTGTAAAATCATTTGCACATGTGCGTAACACTTGGTTTACTTTAGTGTAACATTTAATAAATATAATCCAATACATGTAACATAAAGTGTTGCACGGACATAAAAAAAGTTATACGTATGAATTAATGAGATTATGCTTTCATATAAAAAAGTTGCATTTGCCGAATTGTATGAGTGGACTGTGGACTTAAGATTTTGCCTATGTAAATTTTTAAAAAACAAAGCTAAACAACATGAAGTTATTGAGGCCACTTTCATGTAGTTGTGAAGCAATGGGAGACAAGCCTCCCGTACGTTTTTAGAAGTAAGTGGTCATTATCATTTGCTTTTGTCTATGCCACAACGTTGATTCATTTGAAGGCTGAATTATCGATTGACCATTCAAAGTCAATCATTTGGGGCGCATTTTGTTCTTGGCCGTATTTTAAACACAGTTTATCATGCAACATACACGAGGGACATGTTGCCCTATTGACTTTTTGCGTAGAACGTGTTAATGCCTTGTCGAGTAACTTGAGAAATTGCCTTGAAACGCCTTTCTTTGATCATGTCAATTGTCGAGTAAGGACTTAGGATTCACATTGCATTCTTTTGTGCTCATTTTGCGAGCTTATAGAGTTTTCTTTCCTTAGAATACGGGTTCATTTTTGCTTGGCTGTGGAGAGAGAAAAAAGAAAGAAGCTTCCCTTAGCGGCTTCAACACTAAAACAGAAGAAGGGCTTCTTTTTTTTTTTTTTTTTGATTTATTACAGTAGAAGGGTGTTGATTACATTCAAACGTGTTACAACATAATATTATACTCTTCTCACAAAAAGTTTTGATATATACTTTTAAATTGTCCTTATAAACTCATGTAATTTTCTATTTTCTCTTCACTTATATGCTTTTCCTTAATTGCTTTATCAAAAGTCTAACCAAAATTCCACTTAAATCTCTTTTATTGGGAATCAGATTTATAGGAATTTGATTTTGCACGTATGTGCAAATGTACTTGTTAGTTTGTAGTATGTGGACATACGCATACATATATGCATATTGGTAGTTTGGTTTAACGTTTTTTTTCCCCCTAGAAAGAACAATTTGTTAAAATTTAATTTCCTTATTTGCATGAGAAAAACTCTACAATCATACATATTAAGTAACTTGCCCAAAACGGTTGAACAGTAGTCGGTTTTACAACTTAAATAATGTTTGCAACTAAGTCATATAAGAAACTGGGGAAAAGGGTTATATGTCAATTTGTCTTAACAATTTTATTTATTTATTTATTATTATTTACTAAGCACTTGAGGAAAAGTCTAATAATAAAGAGAAGAGATTACCAGATAAATTCTCAAAAACGATGCACCGAAATGCGTGTCTTTATTGGAGGTTTTAAGAGTTAAAAGATACCTTTGATTTAGTAATAGAAGCTCTATTCGATTCCGAAAGGAATCCAAAGAAACAAACAATTCACCAGTGTATCGATTAAGCTTGACATATTATAAGAGTTAAATAAATTGAACAATTTGGATAGAACTACTGGGGATAGAGTTTAGGGAATGGATTGACTATAACTTGAATTTGCGTTTATGATTTGGACGTAGATTTAGGCATGCAATGTATGTATACAGAGAGAGGAAGGCGCCCTTTTTTTAAGGAAAAAAAAAAAAAAACGATGTAAAGTTTTGGTGTTCTCCTTTTTCTCCTATTTTTTTGTCAATGGCTTTAATTTATTTTGGAAGGGGTAATAGCTTTATTTTTGTTACTTCACTTATTATATGCAACTAGATTCTTTCTTAAATTTTGTTTACCAAGTAATTTGGTAAGTAACATGTTATCAAATTAACTCATACAAATATGGTAGTTTTTTGCTGAATATATAAATATGGTAGTTTTTTTTTTTTTTTTTTTTTTTTTTTTTTTTTTTTTTTTTTTTTCTGCTGAAAATATGAGTATGATAGTTAGTAATGAGAATTTGTTACCCTACAAAAAAGTATGTAAAGTTGGTATACTTCAAAAAAAAAATAATGCAAATTGGTTACTCA